TATTTAGTGGTTCCTTGGTGTAAAAGGGTTAAGCTCTTAGGAGGCTTTCATGTCTTCATCATCATCTGCTGATGAGTACTATTTGCTAGTGTCTGTGTGTATAATATGTTAATAACATTTTGTTTTACATTTTATAGTGTTGTGTTATGGCTTGGAGATCTCAACTACCGCTTAAGGGATATAGATGTGGAGAAAGTAAAGAAATTTATTGAAATTAAGGATTATAAATCCATCTATGAGTTTGATCAGGTATGAGGGGATCCACTTTACTTTATTACTTCAGAAATGAATGTGCAAATAATATTTGTTTTGACAAGTCGAAAACAAGGAAAAAAGTACAGTTTTGCTTTGAAGATGTTTTTATTAGTTTGTGTACCCAGATGTGAAACTGGCCACTGTTTTAAACTTTAAAAGTCCTGTATAAGAGCAGGCAACAAAAGGGGCCTACTTTTACTTTTGTTAGTCAGAACACTTTTTTTGTACACCCTGTCTAGGGCTGCAGCTAACGATTATTTTCAAAATCGATTAGTTAGTCGATTTATTAAGTTCGATTAATCGGATAAAAAAAATGGCTCCAGTGATGGACTACTAGTTTGTATTGAGATTGTAATCCATCATGGGAGCTAGCTTGAAGCGGTGGAAGAAAAAAAAAAGAAAAAGTATGGTGTGCAATATAGTGAAATGGAAAGTGTAAAATTATACAGCAATGAATGCAGAATGGCACCGGCTATAGAGGACTACAAATCCCAGCCATAGTACATTATACAGCGCAATGCAGAATACCACCAGCTATAGCGGAATACAACAAATCCCAGCACATACACCTACTATCATGTATTATTGCCGGCTGTGATTTGTTGTATTCCTCTATAGCTGTTGGTATTCTGCGTGCATTGCGTTGCTGTATAATGTATTATTGCCGGCTGTGATTTGTTGTATTCCTCTATTGCTGGTGGTAGATTATTGCACTGTATAATTATAAAGCGCAATGCAGAATACCACCAGCTATAGAGGAATACAACAAATCCCAGCCAGCAATAATACATTATACAGCAACGCAATGCACGCAGAATACCAACAGCTATAGAGGAATACAACAAATCCCAGCACATACACCTACTATCATGTATTATTGCCGGCATTTGTTGTATACCTCTATAGCTGGTGGTATTCTGCGTGCATTGCGCCACTGTATAATGTATTATTGCCGGGATTTGTTGTATTCCTCTATAGCTGGTGGTATATTCTGCACTGTGCTGTATAATTATACAGTGCAATGCAGAATACCACCAGCTATAGAGGAATACAAAGGCACCCTTACTTTTAGATGCGAGATCATGGGCCAGTAGGGTGCCGTTCCCCCTCAATCGTTTTCCATCGTCGATTTTAATCGACTACATCGATTAGTTGTTGCAGCTCTACCCCTGTCATAGTTTCACTTTGGGCATAGCATTCCTGAACCCTTGAGCTAAGCTTCACCTACTTGCTGACACCTTGTCCAATAACAATACTACGTTTGGTGAGTCATTCTCAGTTGACAGGTAGGTGGTATGTGGGGTTCGGCTCTGGGGGGACAGGGTTTACCCCCAAATTAAGGAAGTAAAGCCCTTAGTAGCATAGTAAAATGAAAACTCTAAGGATGCAGAGGAGACTTTTACTGGCATGCAAAGGTGGCCAAAGACATCTTGTGGTGCCTACGTGTAGGCAAGACTTACACTTTTGGAAGTTTATTAACTCTGATAGGTTGGCATAAAATGATTTTTAATTATATGAATAAATCTCTAATCTCATTATTATCAAATCTTTGTTTTGTATCGTATACCATGCTCCGCTTGGACACCAGTTTCACACTCATCTAACTAACTTCTGATCTGTTATCCCAGCTGAAGCACCAGATGGAGGAAAAAGCAGTGTATGATGGTTTCACAGAAGGAGAGATAAATTTTCAGCCAACGTACAAATATGATACCGGTTCTGATGAGTGGGATACAAGGTAAATCTGCCAGACTGTAATTGTATTGTTATCCTTGTGCACATCTATACAGTGTAGTTTTTAGACTAATGCTTTTGTTTAATTATTTTTAAGCCTTTGTCTCTATGTTGCTCAATTGTGAATATTGTCACCTGTCTATAAGCCCCCATTGGTATTGATGTAATCGGTCATATGGGTTTTGTACCCTGTCTAATTAAACTCAGGCCAATAAACTATAGATTTGATTCAAGAGTGTTTTCCCTTATTTTCTGTCTTGTAAAACATTTTCAGGACAGGAAGTGAGGGGAAATCTTTCCAACGGAGCTCCGGATAGCAGTAAAAACTTCCTTGGAGTTCTAATCCTCGCCCACTCTATCTAAACGAAATAAAAAAGTTTTGGCTCGATATACACTTTAAGCGCCATCCATCTTTCTCTCTGGAAAATATATGCTTGTTTATAAATCAAGTCAGGAACATGTAACGTTCATGTAGAAATCCATCTATTAGGAGTCTTAGTAGCAGTTATATAAAACTCTTTTGTTCAAAATGATTGCACCATATCACCTATCTCTGTAACCACAGAGGAAATGAAAACATTAGATGTGAATATTTCAACATAAAAGTCATGGCCTTTCTCTTTTTACAAACTTGTTTATCTTTTATTACAAGCTTAGAGCTACTTTCAGTACTTATAACATAACAATTCTAACATTAGAATCTGACAGATTTGCATCAACATCACTACTCATACTGATTACTACTATTCACAGTTTTTTTTGGGCCTAACTGTTTTAGTTTAAATAGGCCCACTCACATCATTGTTGCATTATTATGTGCACTGTGTTAAAGGAGAACTATGAGGTGAGTGATTTTCACTCATCCTCATAGTTCTAGCCGACCTGTGACAATGAAACTGTCACAGGTCGGCTCAGTAGATCGGGTAGTGAGGGAACACATACCGGCGTTCGCTCAGTTCTCGATCCTGTGCCGGCAGAGAGCCGTGACAGGGAAGGGACTGGATTCCCCCCTCCCCGCTCCGATCCTCCAGCGTTGACTGGCAGGACGGAGGGGGAGGGGCGGGTACAGCTGGCTCTGCCTCCACGCAGCTGGGCGGATCCAGATATAATTGTCGGGATCCGTTTCAGCTGCGGCGTCTCAGTATACCGCAAGCAGAAGCTCGCGGTATACTGAGCTTAGAGGGACTGGAGGACGCTAGTTTGTGTCCTCCCGTTACCCTTAGGAGAACTATGGGGAAAAGCCCTAACTCCATAGTTCTCCTTTAAGGCAGCCCATTCATTTTGATAGGCTGCTTACTGCAACAAAACACACCAAAAATTGTTCATGTACCATTGCTGGCAGCCCACTGCAACTAACATCCATTGGTAAGGTGCTTTGGGGTGCCTTTCAGAATGAGCAGCGCATGTGCATGTAGTGAGCGATACCATCACAATAGCTTTAATGTGCCCTTTTGTGCAATTGTGCACAGCCTAATAATACCATTATCTTCATTCCTTTTCTGTCTCTACAGTGAAAAGTGCCGGGCACCTGCCTGGTGTGACCGCATACTCTGGAAAGGCAAACATATAAAGCAGCTGGATTATCGAAGTGTTATGAGCTTAAAAACAAGTGACCACAAACCAGTCAGCTCTGTTTTTAATATTGGGGTAAGGTTTTTTTTTTTATAATACTTCTCTTTGAAGTATCCTACCTTCAGTAAGTATGTGAAAGCAGTGTCTGCTTTGGAGCTGTTTTACCACCTTCATTGCTTTGGATTGGTGACCTATTTACGTTATTGGATTGCACATACAAGCACTGGCTGGTTTGTGAATACATGCTTGTACTTGCAGACAGCAGAAGCTTTACAGCTGATCTGTAGCCAATCCACTGAAGTTGTATTTATATTACTTATGCTTCGTTATGTTCTGAAATGTATTTATTACCTATGGCTTCCAAGGATTTTGTATGTGAAATTACCGGAGTTTTTCCCTGTTGACAGCTCATGCAGGGTTGTGGGAGAATGTCTGTGGCCACTGTGCGCACAGCTTCTCTGAAATAGAACAGAGCAGCCTCTGGTACGCACCTATCTCTGGATACATATCCAATTCATGTAGTAGGTGTTACTTGGTGGGCAGAACATGGTTTCCTGAATCTCTTCCCTCAGAGCAGTGACTGTATTACCTCTTTGCAGCCAGATAACTTGACAATAGCAGTTTTGAAATAGAAATTGAAGCCAGTAGAAGGTAAAGAATTAACATTGAGATTATTTGAAAAACAAAGTCATGCCGTTTTTTTAGATGGCTAAAGTTTAACTTTAATGTGTCACATAACACTTCATCAATCCTAATGCTGTGGATAATACTGTTTATGAAAGTCTATTTGCCCCTTTGGGGTAGTAGTGCTTAACTGCTTTTTTTAAGGTTTGGACATCATGTGGTGTTGCCAATTCTTAAAAGAGAACTATGGGGTAAGTGTTTTTCCCCATAGTTCTTTTAAGGGTCACAGGAGGACATATACTAACGTCCTCCCGTGACCCAAAGCTCAGTATATAGCGAGCTACATCTCACGGTATACGGAGACCGCCACAGCCAGGACGGATCCCGACATTACTGTCGAGTTCCACCCAGATGCATGAGAGGCAGAGCCAGCTGTCAATCTAGAGGCAGAGTCAGCTGTAGCTGCCCCCCTCCCCCGTCCATTTCTTCAGTCAACGCTGGAGGATCGGAGCAGGGAGGGGGGAATCCCTGTGGGGAGCGGTGACTGACAGTCACCGCTCTCTGCCGGTAGATGATCGAGAAGTGAGCAAGCGACGGTATGTGTTCGCTCACTTCGCGATCAATTGAGCCGACGTGTGATAGTTTTTTATTGTCACACGTCGGCTCGAGCTATGAGGATGAGTGATTTTCACTCACCTCATAGTTCTCCTTTAATTACCAAAAGCTGTAGTTTTACTGTTCTGAAACATTAAAATATGTAATACCTAAGGAATTGTATACATATGTGGTATTCTGGGTACCCTCAAAACAAATTCTACCTTATGTCCTGGCTAACTTATGGTGTACACTTATATCCTGTGGCATGATATATTTAATAAATAAACTATCTTCTAGTAACATGGGTCATGCCGAATTTCTTGTAATTATGACTGGTGCAGAAGGACATCTAGTCATATCATTCAGATGGGAAAGAGGTAGAAGCTGACTTCCCAATGAACACAGAGCAGACATTTGTCATTGCAGGTGTTAGGGTTCCCCATGGCTTTGTATGAATACAGAACTCCTTTGTGAATCCTGATATCCTTCTAAATTACAATAGGGAATTACACCATCCAATGTATTATTCTAAATAGCCTAGTTTATATAATTCAGTCACCTTTAGACATTTCTAATAAATATGATATGCTTGTGGTCAGTGAAAGAGGAAGTCTTCCATTAACCATATTCACAACTCTGTTTCCTCTTCAGGTAAAAGTGGTTAATGAAGAGTTATATAGAAAAACATTTGAGGAAATCGTCCGCTCTTTGGATAAAATGGAGAATGACAGCATCCCTTCTGCTACACTTTCTCAGAGAGAGGTATAGATGTTTCCTTATTGATTCTGGACTCTGTTGTACTGTGAACATGTCATTTTAAAGAGAAAGTACGGTATATTTATAGTGAGCACATATTTTGAGTTATTTATGCAGTGTTTTACATTATAATGTGCACCAATCACATTTTTATATCCTTGCTATTCCATATTTCCATTATTTAATTAAATATAGTAATTCATAAAATAACCACTAGAGGGAGCAGACATCTGATTTGAAATTACTCTGCCTCTGTCCAATGGTTGATGAAAAAAAATATCAGCCACACAAGGAGTATAATGTTTTTTGAGTCAGCTGATTTTGTATTGTGAGAAGGAGTAGTAAAGCAGAACTGTTAATTTCTCTAGGAAGGTATAGTATTTATGCCCAAATTTCTTCTGGTTCTATGTTCTTTGATTGAGCTTAAAAACAAGTATTTATGGTCTCCTTTAAAACATCAGTTAGCGTTAAACTTTGACTCCAGTTACAAAGCACCTAGTACACTGTGTAATCAGACAGAGCTTGTAATTTTTCTGAGCCCACAAAGGGGTTTTAAAAGTAATGCTCTCTATGTATATCTGACTGTATGCTTATGCTATTTAAATGGAAAAGGAGAAGCTGAGTACTTCCAGCTACACCTCTAGAATTCTCTGCGCATTGTGTTATGCATACAGTGAAGGAGAACGCCTCCTGACCCATGTGATGCTTAAAACTTTGGCTTTGGGACAATAGGCTCTCTAGTCTGCAAATTACCCTGTAAGCAAGGAGAATGTGGTAGTGTTTGAGCTTCCTTGTTTCCATATATTGCCCAAGCTGTATTGTACTACTCTTGATTGTGGTTATTTGGTAAACTGCTCTTGCAACCTTCTTGCATAAAACAACTACAGTGTTTTGAAGCTCTGTTACACGGTACATTAAGTCTGGGTAGTTTGAATTGACAGTACAAACATAATTACATTGGCACTTGTGAAATAATATTGTATAAGTGTGTCTTTGTCTTTTGCATTTTACAAAGCTCCAGGTTTGTGTGGTACTTGTTAGGAAAGCTAAAAGTGCTTATGTTTTGTCTCTTTCTTAGTTTCACTTCAAGGATGTCAAGTACATGCAGCTACAGGTTCAGACATTCATTATTCAAAATGATGGACAAGTGGCATGTCAGTTTGAGTTCATAAGTAAGCTGGATGAGCCCTCTTACAGTAAACAGTGGCTCCGAGCTAATCCAAGCAAAGGATTCCTAACACCAGGTACACCCATAACCTATAATGTTTCTTTGTGTAATATTAAAGGAGGGTCTCTTTTGTGCGTCATTTTCTCACAGTGAAATAAACAATTTCTCTTACTAATGTGTACAGACACATAAACACCACAAGGCCTGTGTTAACTTGTGTTGCATTTTTAAAAGGCTTTTTTTAACCTGACCAGATGGCAAACTGCAGGTCGTTGCCAAAATGAAGCATACTGGACTTTTCCCTTCTTTTAAGTGAAGGACACAGCAGAAATTTTGAACTTCTACCATTGGGTTATATTGCCGCCTTCAGAAGTAGGCACAAAAACAAAAGCACAGCCTAAGAGCAGCCCCTGATGGTTTTTGCCTAGTTTCGAGTTAGTTTCCAGGAGTAAGGACCTAAGCTTTGAGCTTAGTTCCCTTGCTCTTTGCAGCCACTCCTCTGGCTGTTTTGTCTGTGATCATTTGTTGTTCTATGTACTGCCTTGTACTGCTTTTGTGACTGAGTTTCCTCTAGGTGTTGGGGGAGGGAGGGGTTTGGCCACCATCAGGAGCCATGCTTAGGCTGTGCTTTTGTTTTTGGGCAATATTACCCATTGGTAGAGATCCAAGATCTCTGCTGTGTCTTTCAGTGAATGCAGAGGAAAGGTTTATGTGGTGAGTACAAAAAAAATACACTGCAATGCAAAAGAGTGTGAACAGACTCAAAAACAAAACAATGTATGTCCAGCAAGATAGCTCAGCTGTTGGGAATGAACCCTAATGCTGTACATGGAAACAAATAATACCCAGCAATTTCTAGAATCTGTATTTGAAATTATAAAGTGATCTAAATTTGCTGTTTTAAGTCTGAAAAACTCTGATTTGGAAATGTAACACACGGGCTTTGAGCCTAGAGCTGGCCATACACTATTAGATTTTTTTTTCCTTCAGCTTGCAGGTAGCATTTGTGAAAATTCACAAATGTATGGCCTCATTCTTTTGTTACTCTGGAACTGGATGGCTAACAATAGACAGAATACAAGTGGGTGTTTTAGAAATGTAGATGGAAAGATATTGAACTGTGTTAGAGCAAATCAATAAACTTTTGTTTGGATATTTTCGTAGCTGTTAGGATTATGTAATCCTTTCCCTGACTGTTAGTGTATCTATGGTCAAATGCAACATCATAAATTCATTTCCACATTGAATTTGCATTAGTTCTAGCCCAAATTAAGTGGGAAAAAAAGGTTTACAAAAAAAAGTTACAAAAAAAAAAAATTTATTAAAAGTCGCAAATAAAAGCAGTTAAACACAAAATGTATTTTAAAGTCCCCACATGCAAACATGCGTCGGGCGCGCCTACGTGTGAAAACGCCAATCGTACATGTTGAATATCATCGTGAATGTTGGAGTGGGAGCAATAATTCTAGAGCCATTAATCACTGATAACACTAAACTGCTTTTAAAGCATCGCCTATGCCCAATTTTTGGTATGGTAGTTTTTTGCAAATTTTGCACGCACACGCAATTTTAAAGCTTGACATGTTTGGTGTCTATTTAGCTGACGTGAACCCGTCTTTTTTTTTTTTTTGCCAAAAATTTGGGTAATAAATGTTTTATAACATAACGTAGGGAAAACAGTTTTTTTCCCCAAAATTTTCGGTACTTTTTTCATTATACAGTAAAAAGAAAAAAAGCCCAGTGGTGATTTATATACCACCAAAAGAAAGCTCTATCTGTCCCAAAAAAAATGGTATAAAATTAATTTCAGTACAGCGTTGCATGACGAAATAAATGTCAGTCAAAGTACCGCAGCGCTGAATACTGAAAAATGGCCTGGCCAGGAAGGGGGTATAAACACCCCGGTCAGCAAGTGGTTAATGCAGTGACACACATTTACTATGTCCTGTGAATATGCACTGCTGTTTTACCAATTTCACAGAGCCTACCTTCTGCTGAAGAGGAAGAGTTTTAGGAGACACAGTCAGTACATAAAAAAGCCACACAAGCGATGACATCACTACTTGCAGGCAGCATTGTCATATGGGATATGTAGTCCTTTGAAATCGAAAGTAAACCACATGCAGGGAATCCAGGTAGTTGTAAGAAATGCCCAGCGGATAGGCAGCAGTCACAACATAAAAGCTTATATTGGATTGCCAAAAATCATTTGTGTTGATATTACAGTGCTGATGTCATAACTGGACCCCCGATGTCTCTCACTGGAGGCTTCACCTGTGCATTAGAGCCCCTATAGACTTCTATGGGGCTCGTCTACCTCTGTCTCCCGCAGGGGAATGTAGGGAGACGAGCCCCATAGACTTCTATGGGACTAAAAGCTGAATGTTACTATAGGTTAGCACATTTTGCCCATCATCTCTGCTGTTTGCCCTTTTTATTGAATATGCTTGATATAATAAAAACTAACATATAATAAATCCAATCTGTATTCTTTCATTTTAGGATCAGAAGCACAAATAGAACTAGAGATGTTTGTAAATAACCAGTCAGCTGCTCAACTTAACTTTAGTGAGGAAATATTAGAAGATATTTTAATCCTCCACTTGGATAGAGGAAAGGACTTCTTTCTCTCTGTGACTGGAAACTATCTGCATAGCTGCTTTGGATCCTCCATTCAAATGTTGACCTACTTGAGAGAGCCTATCAGAGATATGTCTCCAGAGACAATCCATAAACTGGTATGATCACAGATACCATTATAACAGCTTGAACATTATTATAAGTTAACTTTAGTGAAATGGTTTCATATTGTTGTATGATTTTCCCACCTTCAGGCACATATGCCTCTTGAAATGAAAGATGACTTTGTTGGTGCAGAAAAAACATTGGATATTCCAAAAGAGCTGTATATGATGGTTGACCATTTGTATCGGAATGCATCTCAGCAGGTCAGACTTCTCTTCTGTTCTTTCCTCATGCCAAGGAAATATTGGAAGTTTAAAATAATGAATGTTTGTTTTATTTTTGTTCCCAGTATGTACAAATAAGACAGCGTTCACTGTGTTTATATTTATACTACTCTAAAGCTATATGGGTTGGACTTGATGGACGTATGTCTTTATTCAACCCCAAATATAATGTAACTATGTAAAGCTGTTTATATACAGTGCATCAAAGCTTTATCATCAAACGTATCTCCATGCTGATGTCACCTGTAAGGCAAGTCAGGCTGAAGCACCAGGATCTGCCTCACCATTTGTACCACTGGGCGCTTTTTGAAATCTCCTGCCCCAGCTATTTTTTAACACATTCAAGCTGCAGGATTATGCGCCAACAACATACACTAGGTGCTGCATGTGTGTGCTTTATGCTCTCTTTCCTGCCATTCCACCTGGAGGAAGCCTCATCCTGCTTCTGGATACAGGTCCTCCTTCCATGGCTGATTTGCAGCCTCCTGAGGAAGTTCCTCTAGCTCCCTTCCTCAGTTCTGTGCTTAATAAGGTGAATGTTCTTAGCTGTCTGGCTAAGATTCCTGCCCCTCACTCTATGGCTTTGGATGCTTCACTGGACTGGGACAGGCCAGATGATTCTTAGAACCGCATTCTGGATTAAGGTAAGGCAGGTCCTGCAGAGTTCCTCTATCAGGCCTCAGAAACAACTTTGGGTATTAAAGTTGTTGGGACTTTTGCTCTTCTGGTGTCGATTGGGGTTTATGTTCATCTCTGCCTAACCTTGTAGGGGTACCTTTTACACACCCTAACACCTTCTTTGGTCAGACTGACTCTAGAGTTGAAACCCCTGGGTTTTATACCAGTCTCTGGTCTTTTGGCTATCCTTTGAGATATTACTCTGTTAGATTCTTACTTTCTTTGGATATCCCGTTGCGAGGTTGGTTGTCGGACCAGGCAGCCTCATTCTTAACACGAAACCTACCTTCCTTGAATACCAAGGGAATGCTTCTTCCTTTTGCATATAGGCCAGTTATTTTTTGCCCAAAGGTTTTCTCTGGGGACCTGTTCTTCTTCCCAGTGTTTTTCTAGGAAATGGGAAGCTATACAATATTACATTTTTTGGGTTAAGATACACTTTAGCAGGTCTAGAAGATAAAAAGTCAATCTATAATTTTATAAAGGATATATATAATGAATTGTTTCTGACTGCGGTCACTTTAGTAACATTTAAACTTGGCTCTTTACTGGTTTATGATGTTGATGATGTTTACTTCATGTGTGAGTGTTGTAAATGGTAATGTTAAAATATAATCATACAGTTAATTTGTTTGTTCAATTTTCAGGAAGACATGTTCCAACAGCCTGGATTAAGATCAGAATTTGAAGCCATCAGAGACTGTTTGGACACAGGATATCCAGAATCTATTCGTATCCTTGATATGTACAATATGTGCTCTAAACAATGCTGCCGCTGAAATATAGGGCAGAATACAGCACAAGGTTTCTGTTAGTGTTATAGTAACATCACTTGTAACAAACTGTACTGAGATAATGGACCAGTTCACGCAAGACTGATATTTCAGTTTTTGTGCGGAGGTAGCCAGCTGAATCACATACCACATTCTGATATTTTTCAGGGAACTTATGTTGTGAAATGGCAAGCCCCAGCCTACCTGCCATAAAGTCTTCTATTCTCCCTACTCATTGAACCCTGTTTCCTCACAACTACTCCCGTTACCCTCTTGCTCTATTCTACATTCTATAACTTACAACTTCAATCTCTACTGGCATCTCCCCAACCCCTCTAAAACATGTACTGTCACCCCCCATGCTTAAAAAGAACCCTTGCTGAACTCCTCCAGTCTGATCGACTTAAGACCCATCTCCTTGCTTCCTTTTACCTCCAACGTTCTCTAACGCCTAGTCTACAACCACCTGAAGCACCACTTCACTGTTAACCACATTATTGACCCAATTCAATCTGTCTTTTTACTGCAACACTCCACTACGACTACTTATGAACTGCTAAAACCAATGGCCACTAATCAGTACTCCATTCCCTGGGCATCCAAGACTGTTTTTTATTTCTTTTGTGGCTCTCCTCCTACCTGTCTCAGAGCACCTTTGGTGTCCCCCACAACTCTATCTCCCCCTCTCCTCTTCTTCTTTCTCTAGGGGTCCCCCAAGGCTCTGTAATCAGGCCCCTTCTGTTTGCCATCTCCTCCCTGGCCCATTTTATAATCTCCCCCTTCTTCCAATTATATCTCTTCAGAATACTAACATCAACATACAAAGCTATCCACAACTCTGCCCCAACGTCATCTGAAAGCATCACCCAAACCGTCTTCTCAGCTTCTCCTATGACCTCTTGCTCTGTAGCACTCTTGTCACCTCCTCCCATGCTCACCTCCAGGACTTCTCCATATCCTCTACCTTCCTCTGGAACTTCCTACCCCAATCTGTCAGCTATCTCCTACGTTGTTCACCTTTTTAGGCAATGCTTGAAAGCTCATCAACTTCAGCAAAGCCTATCCCATCCCCACTTAAAAACTGTACAGCTCTTCCCTCACAATTAATGCCTTTTGAATCAAAATGCCAGAGACACTTCTTCCTTAACATACTGCTAAGCTGGAAGCAACCATTCTGTTGTTGAGGCCCTATTGCTCTTCCTGGAGGGTCTTCCTGAGCCTGTGGTCTGTTATAATTTATATGATACCTGTCTGCAGTATGCTGGAGATTACAGCAGCAGTAAAGAGGTAATGCTGAACAACATTTTTTAATATGAAAAAAAATAATGGTTTAGAAATAATAGAAATAAAAGATCAGCAGGGAAACAATAGTTAAAGGGAAGAAGACGATAAATAGGATATCGATCTTTCTTTCTCTCTCTCTCTCTCTCCCCTCTCCCTTCTCTTCTCTCTCTCTCCTCTCTCTCCCCCCCTCTCTCTCCCCCCTCTCTCTCTCTCTTTCTTCTCTCTCTCTCCTCCCATCTGAACAGTATTTATAGGCACATTGTCAGTCCTTTTTTGATGGCAGTGGCTGTAATAGCATCTACAGGTGAAACTCGAATAATTAGAATATCGTGCAAAAGTAATTGCAGTAAGTGCTGCAAAAGGGGCCCAAACCAAGTACTGAGTACATATGCATGCTTGTACTTTTCAGAGGTCCGATATTGTTCTATGTACAATCCTTGTTTTATTGATTGCATGTAATAATCTACTTTTTTGAGGTTGTGGATTTGGGGTTCTTGGGGTTTTCATGAGCTGTAAGCCATAATCATCACAATTATGACAAATCACGGCTTGAATTATCTTGCTTTGCATGTAATGAGTCTATCTCATATATTAGTTTCACCTTTTAAGTTGCAGTAGTGAAATAAATGAACTTTGCACGATATTCTAATTATTCGAGTTTCACCTGTATATTTATGCAGGTAGTTACTGTCAATTGCCAGCAAATGCGTGGGGTGGGGGGTAATGGCAGCGGGTAAGAAAGGCAAGGGTATACAACACAAACCCTGTGTACTTCGATGAAGTTTTTTGGGGTGTGTACAGCATGCCCACAACTAGTTTAAGCTGATTAATCATGAACTACAAATTTGCATGAAATAAACAGTATGAAGCAAAGTATTGTAAAAAATACAGTGCATATTGGCAGAGAAGTCCATAATGGGAGGATGCAGGGCAAGGGAGGCAAGAGAAAGCATTTCCTCAATCTGTGACCATATGTAGTTATATTATAGTTTGCTTTTTACATAGGTTATTTCCTCGTTACCACTGCACCACAAAAATGTCTTCAACTACCTAATATCGTTCTTGCGGGAGCTGCTTAGCAACTCATTACAGAACCACCTGGATATTAACATTTTAGGTAAGATGTTAATTGTCAGTTAATTGTGTTAATTGTCTTGTGTTTTTGCACTTTTGTTACTGTTACTTGAGTTCTTAGCTTCTTTCAATTATACAAGAACTCCCGCAGTTGGTTGGATCCTCTAGCTCTCTCCTCTATGCTGGAAGGAGGGCACAGCAAGCAGTGGGTGGGTACAAAAGCCAGCCTGCTATTTGCTATTGCAATTTGAAATGGCCAATAGCAGGCTGGCTATTGCACCTGCCCACTACCAGCTGTATTTACATTCAGCTGCCGTCTGGGGAATCTTGCCACTGGCAGCTGTCATTCCCTGGCTGAAGCTATTCAGGCGCCATGTGCTTACAATACTATTTTTTTTTTTTTAAATGATAAAAGGTGGGGAAAAAAGTCATTTTCGGGTTCGGCCTGACAAATTCTGCTTTGAGAGTTGCATTGAAGTGCCATTTGATCGCACCCCAAACGCGCCTCCCACCCACAGTGTGATCGCCCGCACTGGAACAAACGGTATCACAATACTGTGCGTTCCGGTACAGTGCGATTGCAAAAAAATGTGCATGCAGTTTTATTCTGAAGTAAACTTTGTTTGTAACACGGCATTTGTGTATTTTATTTTAAGTTAAGGATGGTATTTATTTAATTATTTTCATCCGATTAATCGAAAAAATTATCGACCAACCAATCGATTATGAAAATAATCATTTATTGCAGCCCTACTAGTAAGGGTGTACTCCGATGGGGACAACCAGTGTAAGGGGCACTCCAATGGGGACAACCAGTTTAAGGGGGCATTTGGCATATGTAATATATATGTAATATATTTAGATCACAGAATGGCATTATTTTAATTACTGGTTGTGTGCAATTTAGTTAGTTTGAAAAAAAATTATGTATTGAGGGAAGAAACATGGCTGTGTTGCTCATAAGAACTAGTAAGTTTCCAGCTGTAAATGATCTAATACAAAGAAACTGAGATTGTTGGATGCAACATATCCTCATTTCTTTTTTAATGAATTAGCCATTCTGGTATGCATGTATTCAGCTGGCTATGGCATGGCAATTTATATATTTTTCAGGAGAAAAAAAAGCAAGTGTTTTTAATTTGTGTTGCCCAGACTCCTAAGGGCCCATACACAAAGGCCTTTTGGAGAGTTATCTTGGCTGCCTCACTGCCTAGATGCAATATCCTCCATAGAAAGAGTAGATTTCTGGGGAAAGCAAGGCTCAGTACTCTTTTACACTTATTTCAACATCTAATGGATCTTGAATGCCCAAAAATATTGATGTGTACTGGCTCTTGCATTTTATAGACCGACACAGTTTCTCTACATGATTTAAACCCTGAGTTGGCAGCACTATGATATTGGGCAGCCCTGAGTGCTTGTGAGTCTTTGTATTATTATTATTATACAGGATTTATATAGCGCCTACAGTTTGCACAGCGCTTTACCATATAAGGAAGACATTACAATCACAATACAATTCAACACAAGATGGCATGGAGGGCCCTGCCCGTGAGGGCTTACAATCTAAGAGGGAGGAGGAAGTGATACATGAGGAGGTAGCTGTGTGGGGAAGAATTGTTTGAGAATGTAATGTGTCACTTTCCCCTCCATTTTAGATTGTAAGCCATCACAGGCAGGGCCCTCTTTACCATCTTGTCTTGAATTGTATTGTGATTGTAATTTCTTCCTTATATTGTAAAGCGCTGCGCAAACTGTTGGCGCCGCTATGTAAATTCTGTATAATAATCATTCCTTTTCTGATCTTTTTCCCTTTTGTGAATAACCCTCATAGTGTAGCAAGCATGGGCAGAACCTCCACCTCTAGGCCTTGATACAACTTCTCTGGCATGGCTACAAGCTTAACCAGTTGACATCCGCGGTGTTAAACCCCCTTCCCATCCAGGCCATTTTTCAGTATTCAGCGCTGCGGTACTTTAACTGACATTTATTCCGTCATGCAGCGCTGTACTGAAATGAATTTTATACCCTTTTTTGGGGACAGATAGAGCTTTCTTTTGGTGGTATTTATTCACCACTGGGGGTTTTATTTTTTTACTATATTAAGGAAAAATTACCGAAATTTAAAAAAAAAAAACAGTTTCCCCTATATTAAATGATAAAACATTTATTATTACCCAATTTTTTGGTAAAATATAAAAGATGGGGTCACGTCGGGTAAAAAGACACTAAACATGTCAAGCCTTAAAATTGCGTGCGCGCGCGAAACCTCAAAAAACGATAATACCCAAAATTGGCCATAGGCGACGCTTTAAAAGCTGTTACCGCTCATCAGTTTAGTGTTATCAGTGATTGATGGCCCTAAAATGATTGCTCTCACTGCGACGTTCGCGGCGATATGTAACATGTGTAGCGCAATTGTAATTTTTGCGCGCTGGGGCACCGGACGCGTATTTACGTTTATAGGCGCGTAAACGTGGGGGTGGGGGAGTTAAACATTTTGGGGGGGTTTTTTCCCCTTTTTTTATATGTGACTTTTATTTTATTTTACTTTTTTATGTGTTACTTTTATTTTTTTTTATTTATATTTATTTTTTTGCACTTATTGTTATTGCTATTATATAGGGGGATAACAATCCCCCTATATAATAGCAAAGGCACACTGACAGGTCCTCTTTATGGAGACATTAGGGGTCTCTAGGACCCCTAATGTCACCTGTGGACCCCAAAAGAAGCTGATGAAGCAGAGATCTGCTTTATCAGCTTCTTCTCTCTGGCAATAGCAGCCAGATGACTGACAGGTGAATGCGGAAGTGATGTAATACACATCACTTCTGCATTCACAGCCCGGACGGAGATCAGCAAGGAGCTGATCTCCTGACGCCCTCCGAGCCGATCCCGGGCCGCAGATGGGACAGCGGATCCCGGGATTCAAGGTGAGGGGTCAGGGGGAGGCGGGTTTTGGCGGACCCGAACGAGCACATATAGGCGATCGGCGGGTTATGGAGCCGCTGATCGCCTATATGTGAAACACCTGTTACCGGGTGTTTGCATTGGTCGGGTATTTTCTGCCCGTGCGTGCCCGCTAGGGGGCGCGCGCGAGCAGAAAAAAAATGCCGTCTGGCGACGGCAACCCGCCAATGCAGCAGTGCAAGAGGTAAATATCTCCCTTTTTAGTTTTCTGCAAAGATTTCAGGCTATTATATGTGTAAAGAAGAGGAAAAGCTGAATAGGTGAATATGATGAAGGGCTGTGTGGTAAAATGTAAGACAGTGCCCCTAATTCTGGTTGACCATTGCAGCTCCAGCTGTTATATATGTAGCAGCACTGCCAATCAGCACAAAGTCAGTACATTAGAGAGCCTACTTAATTGGTGGGTTTTTATGGGTATTGCCATCTTTTGCGCTGTCCAGGGTTTGATTTTTTTTTTTTCTTGTTCCCAGCAAGTATATTTGGAAATCTTTTACTCCGACCTCATCCTGACCACCCCAAAGTCGGCAACTCCGAGAAGAGGAAATGCCAGGAATTTGTTCAGCAGTTTCTCATGCACAGAGAGGATCCTTGAATTGCCTGCCTTGTTCAGGTATTAGCAGACTTTCAGAAGCCGTGCCTGTTAAAGGGTTTTGTGCCATTCTTGATGATTTACATCTTGACTAGTTGAGCCATCTTTTCCATATTTTTACAGCTATAAGCCTATAAAATTATTATTTTTTTATAAATGAGAAAAGATGTATTGATGTTTTGACCAATGCCACCATGCCTTAAATGTACTGTGTCACCCTTTTAATGGCATTTAATGTGGATAAATCATATGTTCTATGGTCCCAGGATTTTTTTGCCAAGCATTCCTTTTTAGCCCAAAATACCTCAGATGGCCTACTGGGTACAGTTTAAATGATTTACCGGTTTTTACATTTTTAAAACAAATGTGAATATTTTATTCCGTTTGCCCAAATAATTCATTTACATAATATGGAAGATATTATTCATTCATTTATGATATGGAAGATTTCCTATAAAAGTGCCTAGGCTTGAGACTTTGGTGTTTATCATATGCACACAGCAGCGTTTCTCATGTTATGTTCCAAAAAAAAATATTTCAGGTTTGTTCTAAAAAGGAAAGCCAGGATCAAGATGGTCTAAAAGTGTAACACCACCAAAAGTTCATTTTTATTCATTTTTGATTGAATTTTTATTGTTGTCTGAGATCTGTCCTTGCAGTCCAGGTGTCAACATAGTCACCCAGACAGTAAGTGAGAGACATCCTCCAACAGGGTCACAGACAGAAATTGAAAACTGTCAAGGATTTGTACTGCTGTCTCTGTCCTTCTTTAAAATTTTAAGCCGGCCATACAGTGTTTTATTCTTTTTTATTCAACCCGCAGGCTGAACAAAAAAAATAGAACAGATTCCTCCATCAACGCTTACAAGTGTTGATCGAGCAATCCCCACTGTTTCCTTTGTATTCTGACAGCGGCCACCAGCTGCTGTCAGAATACACCAATGGTTCTGGCAGCTTATTGGCTGCTAACACCAATTGTTTGAAGATTTTCCAACCGGCTCCTTCGATCAGCTAATCAAGGGATGCTGGCGGGAAGGGTGCCGACAGCAGCACCCACTCTGCGAATTTCGGTTGTTTTTTCAGGAAGTTTGCATAATGTATGACCAGCTTTAGCCGCGTTTTTTAACATGGTAACTTATTTTCTAAAGAGTCACAGTGAGCGTAAAGTTGAACTCTGGGTGCACAAACTTTCATTCATATCTAAACCTCAATAGCCACAGAGGATATACATCCACTTTGTGTGCACCAAATGGCTTTGCAAACCCAAATATTACCATATAAGTAGCAGTGACATTATCACTGTGATGTACATAGCCTGTGCAGATAGCAGAGCTGTGAGAGGGACCCAGCAGACCCACCCCACTACAGGCTGCCTGCAGACAACTAAAGGAGGGGGGTGGATACAAGACCAGTCACCCTGCACAAATAGAGAGAGAGCAGCAGAGGCAACATTTCACACTGGATTAGTGTACAGATCTGGAAGAAATACACAAAGCACACCAAGATTAAAGTAAGAATGCACAGGCCTCTTATATTTAGACTATATTTGTGTATCCTGGAGTTCAGCTTTGAATAATGTCAGATGTTCTAAGCTTCCCCTTTTGAGAACAAGAATGGAGAAAAGTTTTTTTCTGAAGATTAGCTTTAAATATTTATACTTTCCTGGAAACGATGTGTAATCACACATGGGCCAATTTCTCTTTCGTTATGTATGCTGGATATAACTGACTGAATGCTGTCCAGTGCATAGATAATATATTTTTGTCTTGATCATTGCTACTGTAAAATTATATGTAAAAAGTCAGCTGTTGTATTTTTTTTTCTATTTTTAAGGAATTTTAAACTGCTTATTGCAATTTAAAATAATGTGCAAATATTTTCTATTTTGTACTTATTCTCCAGAGATGTGAGGTTTTTTTAAACTAATATTTAATGTTTTGTATTAATGCAAATGGATAAATATATTTTAAATACCTGTGCGATTTAGTTATAGACACTAATAAAAAAAATCTATTAAAACCTTTTTTGTTTTGTGTGTATTGTGCATGCCCACATCTGTGTGCTTTTGTTCTGATCTCAAGTCAAGTGGCTCCGATAAAAATCTATGCATGTCTTTTTGATAATGCTCCCTAAAAAAACAGGTGTAGACTTAGGTTTTGTAGTGGTTACGGTTCTAACTAATTCACAGAATAGCTGCTGCAGCTTCTGATATGTGTCCAAATATGATATGAATCTTCTAAGTATTCAGGCTACATTTCCACCTCTGCATTTTAGTGTGATGTATTCAATGAAAATCATCCTTGCTGCATCTTTAGATTGGTGTCCAGTAAAACACACTTTTATTGGGATGAACAGTTTGTAAAATTCATATAATATTATCTACGCTTCAACTGCACTACATGAAAAACGCAGAGACACGAATGTAGCCTAATGCATATCATCTGTATTGGTTTATAACAGGTTGGGTGCAAGGATGAGGTCAGGTTTGGACCGAACTCAGCCCGAACCTGAACTTCTCCAAACAAGGAAGTGACATAGGCAAGTCCACACAATGAGCTGCGGGCCAGGTATTCCCCACACTGCGGCTGCATGTAAACAAGGGGTTGGAATGCTTTTGATGATGTAATTTAACTTATATTGCCATATTAGGTAAAGGTAATTTCCCAAATATAGGCATGTAGCCTGCCATAAAAGGTTAATGACATCACTGCGTCCTGCCCCTTTCTTTACGTCAAATTGCGGGTGGGACATTCACTGCCTGCAGCAGATTGGGCGGCGCAGAAGGAGCTTCTTTCTTTGTTCGGGAGGAGCCCATCCCTAGTTGTTTTGGATATAGTGGAGAAGGGTAAGAACCTCTTTCAGGTTTTAGTTAAGGATCCTATACACCTTGCGATAATCGTACGATAATCGCGGGAAATCCTGCGATCGTACGATTATCGTAAGGTGTGTGGAAGCCGTGCGACCTCTACTACTGTAAGGTCGCACGACTTTTATCTTACAAACATGTTCGAAAACCCGCCGAGAATCGTACGATTTTCGGCGGGTGTGTAGCATGTTTGTAAGATAAAAGCCGGACGTGGCGGTGTGCGCAAGCGCACACTGCCTGTTCGGCATTGCGGTCATCGGAAAGCCCGCCCCTCAGCGGGGCGGGCTTGCGATCATCGCAAGTATGATCTGCCTGTCCACGATGGGCAGATCGTACGTTTTTTTAATTACCTTACAACCATCGCAAGACAAAAGTCTTGCGATGGTTGTAAGGTGTGTGCCCAGCCTTACCATGTCCCTGTTGGGAAGGTTTGTCCTCACAGGTTTTAACCATCTCCAATCAGTCTCATAAATGAATAATTGTTGAGGGCCCAGTCACACCACATCCAGCGCGGTCCGAGCCCGGAACTCACTGGATCACATAAATCAGGCCGGACCGCATTCTGGTGGCGTGAAGGGGTGTGGCGGTGGCATTCATGTCAATGGCACCGCAGGCATGCCCCCTGCCCGCAGTGCGATTGCCTGCATCTGAAAGCGAGGTACAAGAATGCCCTCGATTCCGATGCAATGTGATCTGAAAAAATGCTGCATGCACTGGAATGGAGGGCACTCCTGTACGTCGCGTTTCGGTGCGGGGGATCGGACTGCTGGCAGGGGCGTGCCTGCGGTGTGATTGACATGAATGGCATCACCACATCCCCCTCCCGCCCCAGAACGTGGCCCAGCCTGATCTATGCGATCCTGTGCGTTCCAGTCTTGGACTGCGCCAGAACGCACTGGATATGATGTAACTGGGCCCTTAAAGATTAATCTCTTTCTTCATTCACATCTAAAGAAGAGAGGAAAAAATACATTACTGAATCATTCTGCTACCTGATTACATTTCTGTATTGCCTGAATGGTCACTGAAATACACTACTGCTTATCTCTTATGCAGCAGTGCTTTAGAAGCTAAAGCGACACAAGGAATGTGACAATGGTTTTGGCAAAGGTATGTGACTCATAAGAGTAGCTGGACATAATTAAAATTAAAGAGGACTGAACTCTGCTCAAAAGAAAAAAAGGCAGACAGACGGTGAAGTACTAGTCGCTAGGATTGCTTGTGGTCTTCCTGCAACTGATCTTTCCAAATCCCTGCCTTACCATGCCTTGCTCTGCACTGCATCTCTGTGGAGGCCATCTTGGAAGAGGCAGGGCTTTGCTTCCTCATGTCAGAGCCTTTGGCAAGAACAGCAGTAAGCAGCGCAACCGTGACATCACTAAATCTTACTCTGAATCTCCTGAGAGTAGTAGTAAGAGGCAGCAGATATCGCACTGCAGATATGCAACTATGAGGCTGTATGCACAACAATGTCTAGACACCCTCACATACCAGGAAGTGCTCTTTTATATCTTTCAGGAATTCCAGACCAAAGGTACATTTCTATGTTAATGCTTAGAAATAATTAACATTTCCGCATTTTCCCTATAACAGCAAATCTTCATTTCTTTTTTTTTAGTTCAGCTATTTGTATTAGTGTGCATTGAGCTCCCCTCTAAAGGGGTTCTCTACCTTCACTCTATTAGTTGGAAAGGTCTATTCAATGTACAATAAAGACCAGTGACATTAGTTTTTTCCACACCCCAGTCCGTCACCTGGTAGAACAGAGCCAGCACAACACAGTACACATGGGTTTTCTTGGCCAGGCTAGGTCATGATAAGGTTGAATGGCTCCATGTGGTGGTAGCCATGGAACTGCTTAGCAGCTTTGTTCAACCAAAGCCTCTTTGAATAGCTCTGGACAACTTCCAACAGAAGCAGTGGTATGTTTTTTTTTTTTTACAGTATGTGCCAGAAAAAAAAAAATAACACATACATTTTGTTGTAACTGTGTATATGTAGTTTTACAAATGAAGCCCATATTGAGATGGTTGCAGGGTCCACACACAACCAGAACAGAAAACCAGGAAAACTGACAAGGATTGATATACTTGAGTGTAAATGCATGCTTGACTATCTAGAAAACCAGTAAGGATTCCAAAGAACAAGATCTATACTTACATTGGCATTTCCAGTTTGAAAGGAAATAAAACACATGCACCACTATACTGGTATAGCTGCAGAAACACCTTAATGGAACAGCACCGGCCCACCAGAACTATGTTCTTAGTTGAATCCAAGATGATAGGAGAATCGCAATATTACACTCGGGGCCGAAAGCTGGCATAGTGAGTAACTGACCAGGGGCAGACTTACCGCACCAGGACCCAAGGATGGCCCAAAGAGATATGGTCCCAGCCCCCCCACCATTGGTGGAGGCATGGCACTTAAAAGTCTTAAATAGATACAGCTGCAGTAAGGTCCCAGATGCTGGGGACCTGTC